TATCGTAGACTCAAATGGCCAGAAAGCTGTGGTCCTCGGAGCGGGTGTCAGCCTAGTCTCCCTTCCCACCCCGTGCACACACAGTCCTCATCTAGGGCTCTTTGAGGACGAAGTCACTGCAGGATCACTTCCTGCACAACAGCGAGGAACAGCCGGCTGGCTCTCATCACATGCAGTGCGCCTGTCCCTCCCTCCTTCAGCCCCACAGGCTCCTGCCACTCCCCTGGGAGCAGGGGATTCATTCCCTTTTAAATTACAATGATAATAATTGAGCTGGGAAAGCAGAGGGAGGCTGGAACTTGCCCACAGCAGACCCCAGTAGGACCAGCTTATCATCCCCCACCCCTGCCTTTGATCGTGTTGTCCAGCACCTGGGGTCACCTCCCCCCAACCCCATTCACCCCCTGGACCAGACCTCCAGGCTGCCTTTCCCTGAGAGGTGGGGAGTAGTGAGGAATGAGCCCCGAGCCATCCTTCTGAGCAGCAGGACAAGCCCTCCCAGAGCCCAAGCCGAACCCCAAGTCCCTCCTTGCTGATTCTTGCTGCGCTGCCATGGAGGAGGAAGAGGGGGCGGCCGTGGCCTGGTCTTGGCTGGAGTTGTTTCTGTGCTATTGCCCCAGGTTGGGCCCCTTGTACTGGCCCTCCCAGGGCCATTGTTCTGTGGGATCAGCACTCCTACATCACTCCCACCTTTGGCCATATCGTAGGCCTGTGCATTCGTCCATGTTATGTACTCATGGCTACCATTTATTAAGCACATATTGTATGTCTGGCACAGTGCTAAGCACTTTATCCAGTTAGTTCACTGAATGAGCACAATTGCTTGGAGTAAGAACTATTACTGACTTTATTTTACAGAAGAGAAAACTTAGACCAGAGAGGTTAAGTGACCTGCCCAAGGGCACACAGCTGGCACAGGGTGGATTCCTCTCCAGAGCCTGTACTCTGAATCATTATGCTGTAATCGTGACACTGTCAGGTGTCCTGAGTTTCTGCAACTTTGCAAAGTCCTTGATTGTCTTAGGAGCACCTCCCAAGATCCCCATGAGCAAAGCAAGGCTGAGGTTAGTGCCATTTTACAGATGAGGAAACCTAAGTCTGTGGAGAATCAGCCTCCCTGTGGGCGCGTAATCAGAAAGCCACAGAGAAAGGAACGGACCCAGTCAACCCCTCAGCCTCAGTCAGCCCAGGTGGGCCCCGGGGACCAGACAGGTGGAATCAGCACACAGAAACCAGACAGCCCAGGGCCTGGGCGATTTCATGTCTTTGACCTGTGAAATGGGGTAAGAATCCCTGTTTCTTCAGATCAAGGTTAGAAGGAGACAAATTTGTCTTTGTAATTTTGTAAAGTGTTTAGAATTACTGACTCCTCCAGGGTCATAAACTCACATGTCTTCAGGGGACAAGTGGGTCTTATAGATGGATAAAGCTGGCCAGAAGGGAAGGGCTGAGGCCAGAGATGGCATGTGCCCCATCTCAAGGGGGACGGTGGCAGCCCAGTCATACCAGATCACCATCTATTAAACAAATCAGAATTTTGAATGTTTTTATGAAATGCCCAGATTTATAAAACTCTTTGCAGGCTGAACAAAAAATATCTGTGGATCAAATACCCCTTGCACCAGTTTGCAACTTGTAATGGAGCTCTAGTTGCTAGAAGATCAAAAAGGCCAGACAGCAAGTCCAAGGTCGCAAGCAAACGAGGCAGAGCCAGGCGAGCCTCGGCCCCAGCCTCGGGCACCCCCATCAGCCCGGTCTCCCCACTTCCATGATGCTCAGCATTTAACACCATCCTCAGAGCCATCCAGCCTGAGGCCTGGGCCCTGGGCAGCCGACAGCCTCTGTGGGGCCCTGCAGAGCAAGGGAAGGACATTTCCAGGACAGCGGAGGCTGCAGAGCTCTGGGTACGTAAATCACAGCCCCCTCCACAGCACATCCATCCTGAGGCCTAATTGAGACATTTGCTTGGAGTGTCCTCAAAAACTAGGGCAGATGTGGCACTCTGGGAGTCAGAGCCACCTGCCGCAGGCACCCTGCCGAGACTGGGGACCAATGGCTGTTCTCCGGAACTTGGACCAGCCACAGGGACGCTGGTTCTCGCTAATAAGATTATATATATTTTAAATAACCCTTGTATACTGCAATGATACTGACTATTAAAATGCCAGAAAGGAGGACAAAATCAAAAAAGACAGCTAGCCCCTCTCTATAGGAACCATGCAGCACCAGGTGGAAAAACCCGTGTGGACTTCGCCCCCAGGATCCCCCCAGCCCGAGCCGGGATGCTTGGAGGTGCTCAAACCTATCTTGACACTTGAGATCTCCTCAACTCTTAAAGAGGGGCTGCTGCTTGAACCTTGTTTCTCAGACTCCTTTCTCCTGGAGCCCCACAGTGCTCTCATGGGCTGCAGGTCAGGAGAACTGGGTTCCAGTCCTGGACGTACTTATTCCCAGCTGAGTGGACTTGGGCAGTCACCTCCCCCTCTCTCTGCCTCCTTTCATCCTCAGTCCTTTGCCCTCACAGAGCGTCCCGCCATGGTGAGGGTCCAAAGAGGCAGAGGCCACAAATGTGCAATCCTAGGTCTGAACAAGGCCACGTAGGTTTTGCCTAATCAGCATTTCTTTTTAAGTTTATTTCTAATTAATTTCACATAAACATCTGGATTTCTGGATTCTCTTAAAACCTCAGACAATCTGGCGCCACCGGACTGACCTTGCCACGTGGCCACAGTCGGCTGTAGTTTAGTGACAGCTTGCCCGTTCACCTGACTCCACACACTCCCTACTGCCTACACTCAGCCAGCTTCGCTCCTTCATGTCACCTGCTTCACACTTGAACCTGAGACCCCTGATTTAATGCGGCAGATATAAAAAGTCTTGAGGGACGTATACAGATTCTTCTGGGCCTCATTATTATTAATGGAATTTCTGGGTCCCACAATTTGGCTTTGACCTTGAGCAGGTCTCCTGGGCTCTTGGGGCTCTGGTCTCCTCCTCATCTGTGAAATGAGAGGGTGTACTAGGGGACTCCAAGAGCGTTTCTAGCTCTGACACTCAGAATGCCCCAGCGGTCCCGCCTTGCAATCTTGGAACTTCAATTGCAGTCTGAGTGCCTCTTGACTCCCCAAGTTCTGCCATAACATTTGTTAAAGGAAGGGAGGGAGGAAGCTGTCCAAGGCTCCCTGGGTACAGGTCACCGAGTCTCCACCTCTCTTAACCAACCCATCCCGTGTCCCCAAGACAGAGCCAGGAAAAGCAAGCCTGGGCCCAGCCAGGGATAGCATTGCATGTTGGTTCTGATGACAGAAAGCACATTAAAAAAAAAAATCTTCCCCTGACACACTGTTTATTTCTTTTGCACCGCTGGCTAATGTCTTTTTTATTAAAGCCTTAATAAACATCATGTTGCAATTTGTTTCTGTAAGGACTATTTGGTGGGGTTAGGGGCTATTGTTCCCCCCTCCACCCCCAAATTCCTACAGTTCATTTCTTTCTGTCAACCCTCAGCACAATCCCAGATTCAATCTGGACCTGGGATCCAGCCTTGCCGGCAACAGTGCTCTACTTGATGCTGTCTCAATGTACACAGGGCGTCGTCCTGAGATCTTCCAGCTCAGCATGCCCGCTCTCCTCCCCACCTGCCTCTACTGCTGTTCACATCACTTGCCTGGCCCATCAAAAGCACTCAGGAGCTGCTTGTTGAGTGAACGAATGAAATTTCTAAAGCAACAAAGAATTCCAGCACCTTCATTCCCTTGCTCCAAAGTAACCCTCCACGCCCTTCCCCCAGCCTCCACTCTCTGGACACACAGATTATTCCCTCCGCGTACACCACCATTGGCCGGTGCAGCTCCCTCCGGCTGGGATGTAATTTCCCTCTTGTCAAAGTCCTCTGCATCCTTCAAGACCGAGCTCTAATACTTCCTTGGCAGAGTCTACTCTGATCCCTCCAGGCAGACTTTACCGTGCCCTCTCTTGTGTTCCCTCTGCACTTTTTTGTAATGTCACTACTTCACTATTACCATTGCCCCTGTATTTGCTGTTTGTATGACATAAAAGGTTTGATGGCAAGTGACAGAAATACAACTCAGGTGGAGTTACACATTAAAAGTCTGAAAAACTCAGATGCTGGCTTGTGTTTTCAGTGGGTCTGTTGGCTCTGCCCTGCTCTTTGAATGGGGTTCGTCTTCATGGTAGCTTCCGTCCCCCATCAGAAAAAATTCTTACCACCATTCCAGGCTTCACATCCAAATGCCCCACTATTGACATGAAGACTTCTCCTCACATTCCAAGCAAAAGCTCCCACTTCCAGGCTGACGGAGCCCCTCTCGTGCCAATCACTCTAGCCTGGGGAGTGCCTTGTATTCATTGGCTCAGATCAACGGGGTGCCTTCCCTCAAAACGAAGTCGTGTTTACTCACCTGAACCTCAAGGGGGAACCACAGAGGAAGCACCGGGAGGCACAACAGTGCCCGCCAGGCTTTGTAGGTGTCTCTGCAAGGAAACGACAAGCTCCTTGAAGACTGACTCTCTACTTAATCACTATCTGGTACTCTAGCCACCTTGGCCTTCTGCTAGTCCTCAAATGTTCCCTGCTTCCATCCTGCCACAGGGCCTTTACACTTGCTTGTCCCCCTGTCTAGGGCCCCACTGAGGCCTGCTTACACTTTAGCTCCACTCATTCCCCCATTGTGATCCACCCGCTACGCATCCACGTCTGGCTCTTTTGTTTTGGCTAGTTCTTAGGATTATATTCCTTTCCTTCAGAGCATTCACCTTCACTTGTCATGACGGATTCATAGGGTAATTATTTGACTGCTGTCTCGTCTCTCCCAGTAGCCCATATGTTTCACAAGATCTGACTATGTTTTTTATCTTGTTTTGTATCCCCAGCACCATGTCTGGCACATAGTTGGCATCTGGTAACTGTCTTTTCAACAAATATAAAAGTAATTCAGCCTCTAAAAATCTCCATTTTAATTAGATTATGTTGTGGAAAGCCTACCGAACTAAGGAATTCAGATGTTTTAATAAGCTCCAGGGACCCACTGAAGGCTTTTGATAAGAGCAACTATGGGAACTGACCTTTGTTTTAGTAAGATCTCTCTGGAAATGGAAGTGGAGAGGCCATACAGGAGGCTGTGGCAGAGTCCAGGTGATGGACAGTGCTGAGAGAGGGACAGCGGCCACATAGGGATGCCAGTGTCCCACTCCACTCTGACCCTCATGGACCAGCCTGACAGTGACCTCATAATCACCCGCTAGACCTCCTACCCTTTTAAAGTCAGAATCCCATCTGTGGTCTAATACTGCCAAAATATGTTCACATTCATGTTCATCACATGAGGAAAACGTCCTACCATCTGAGTCACCCAGGCCAGCAAGCAGAGGCAGAGGGTTCGACAAAGTGAGAGTGTGCCACCTTCCCGCCCAAGTCACGACCAAGGCTCCATGATGACAGAGAAGCCAGAGGACCTGAAGGACTCGCTGCCTACAGAGAGGAAGCACGTGTGGAGGTCGGCTGAGGAGAGGCGGATGTCGGACCTCATGCGGGTGTTGGAGTGGCTGGAGCGGAGGCAGAGGAAGAAGGCGCAATCTCTCCAGGTGTGTTCTGTCAAAGGAAACTTGCGAGGAAGACTTCACTCAAGGCTATTGCAATATGATGTGATGGGGAGAGAGCGTTTTAAGCACTGGGGTGAGCCAGGAGGAGAGCACTGGAGGATGGGGTTGGGGGGTGTTGTGGATATGATCAGGCCATCTGTGTTTGCTAACTCTCCCTGTGTAGTTAGGCTCCTGCCCTCCCACAGAGACTGGAGGTGGGAGTGCTGTCTTTTCCTGATGATTACATTTCAAAGGGATGGCTCCCAGGTCCTTGAGAAAAATACTCTTGGACTGTAAAACTGGCAGGAGGCTGGGTGAAGATTTACATCTCAAAGGATCAGAGAAAGAGTTTACAAGTTTTCCAAAGGAATTGTTCTCAGAAAAGGGTGGTCAAGGGTCTAGAGTCCAGGAAGAAACCTGGCTGGTTTACTCAAGGTGAGGGGAATGTCAGGGCCGTCTTGGTCAGTGTTCGAGAAGGACTGAAGGACAATAATTTCTAGGGTCTTGGTGGCAGAACGGGTCCTTCCCACTGTCTCCAGGCACTTCCGTCCTCATGATGGCTCCAGGGCATCAGTCTCCTCCACCACTACCTGCACTGGGACCCCTGCTAACATACCTCTGCATTTCTATCCTGCAACAGAACTAGTTGTAACCTGTCTGTCTTAGTCTATTTGGGCTGCTAGAACCCAATGCTATAGACCAGGCCGCTTATAACAACAGAAATTACGCTCTCACAGATCTGGAGGCTGGGAAGCCCTAGATCAAGTAGATTTGGTATCTGATGAAGGTCTGCTTCCCGGTTCACAGATGGCCACCTGGGGGAGGGTGTATCTCAGTGGTAGAGCACGTGCTTAGCATGTACAAGGTCCTGGGTTCAATCCCCAGTACCTCCATCAAAATAAATAAATAAATAAACATAGATGGCCACCTTCTTGCTACCTCTTCATATGGAGGAAGAGACAGGAGAGCTCTCTGGGCCTCTTTATTTATAAGGCCCTAATCCCACACATGAAGGCTCCACCCTCATGACCTAACCAGCTCCCAAGGCCCCACCTCCTAACACCATCACTCTAGGAGTTAGGATTTCAACATATGAATTTGGTGGGAGAGACACAAGCATTCAATCAGTAGAACCACACTTCCCTTTTTCTCCAGGAACTCTGGCAACCACTTTGGCCTCAGTTTCCCCCAGAGTTCCCC